TGTTTACACTTGAATTGGAACTGACTTATAGATGATCTTCCGGGGGGTTGCCAAAGGCTGTTTGCCAAGGAAGGTACTGCCCATGTTTCTCCCATGGAGCAGCTGGTGGATTTGAACAGTGCACCTTTGAGTGGCCACCAACTGTAAGGCAGTTTTATAAGCTCATGTAGAAAATTGGTCGCGTTGCTTCCTACCTAGACCTGGGTTGTACCTGTCTTAAATCTTACAAAAGGCGAACCCCCCGTCACTAGTCCGTTCTACCTCTTGGCAACCTTCCGTGGGTCTCCCTGCAGCCCTGGCTGCCTGCCTGTCTGCTAATGAGAGCCTGGTGGATTTGCACTTTCAGTCTTTTAGTCAACAGCCCAGCACTTTCCATTCTCTCTCTCATTGCCCTCAAGCCAGAACCAACTTAGAGTTGAGCCTCCAGTGGGTCTTTCAGAGGCTGTAAGGTGCATGGGAGGAGATGCCCATCTTTCTTGAGATGCTCGGGGATTTGAATCGCCAGAGAGGTGTAGCTTCTGGAGTAGCTGCACAACTCCATAAGCGCTACACCCCCAGAACTCCATAGAGAGAAGCCTGTGAGAAAAGAAAACCCAGTCCTTTGCCGTCAAGGCGATTCTGTGTGTGCTGTACGAAGTGGGAGTGTGAGACTTTGTCGGCGGCGCTCTTTACAGAGGCAGATCCCCTGCTTTTTTATGGTTGCTGGGTGGATTTGACCATCCACCCCTTACCAGTCAAGTCATGTATGCCATCAAGGAGTTTCTAGTTGGATAGACTTGCGTTTGAGAAAACGATTGCCTTGTTAATAATTTTTTTTTTAAATGGTTTTACATATGCTTATCAACTGTGTTTACATTACAGCTTGTTATGTTTCCAGGCTCAGTGTTCAAGTAGTCGTATTTGTGATAGGCATGTCATAGTTTCAGTTATGAACGTCTTTCAGTTTTGATGCCTTTGGTGGCTTGGTGGTAAGAAACTGTGCTGCCAAACTGAAAGCCTGAGGTTCGAATCCACAAGTTGCTCTGCAGGAAAAAAGATGGACTATCTCCTCCCGTGTGATTTACTGCCTCTGAAAACACGCTGGAGAGTCTGCGGTGGGTTGGTTCTGACTCGATGGCATAGGACAATAACGGAGCGTTGTGTGCAACTTGAAAAGATTTGCTGCTGCATTGACTTTCTTTTAGGGAGAAGTCTCTAGAGAAAGGGGAAATGACCCCTCATCTTGTGGGTGACGGAGTCTGCAGTTGAGAGCTGGCAGGAAACCATGAGTATGGGCCAACCCACTTTTCAGATGAGGACACTGAAGTTTAGGAAGGTTACTGAATTTATCTCAAGTCACTATTGCTAACTGCCTTCAAGTAGTTTTATTTTAGCTAGCCAAAAAGGTCAGCAGTTCAAATCCACCATCTGATCCAAGAGAGATGAGCAGCCTCCTCCCTTGAAGATTCACAGTCTCAGCAACGCCATGGAGGATTGCAGTGAACTGGAGTCATCTTGGCTGTGGTTGTGTTTTTAATGTGTTTTGTAGTATGAACCAGGACTTCATTTAAAAAAAAAAAGTATGGCTATACTATATTTTTTTTACTCATTCATCAATTTATGAACATTTAAATAGAATATGGTAGATGATGCAGTTAGACATTGATGTAAAAGTTTTTGTGTAGAAACACATTTAAGAGTCCTTGAGTGAATATTGCTGGAAGTAAATATGCTAGGTAATAGAACTGTTTATATTATTTTAAGGAATTGTCACGGTGTTTTCCAAGGTCTTTTTATATTCTTACCAGCCGTCTTTGAAGGTTCCACTTTCTCCACGTTCTTGCAGGCGCTTGCTCTTGTTTGGATTCTCTTGTGATGGGTGGGACGTGGTACCTCATTGCAGTTTAGATTTCCCTCTTTCTGATGGCTGATGGTGGTAACCACTATTTTTTTTTAAATGGCTCATTGGCCATATCTACATCTTTTGAGAAATGCCTATTCAGATCCTTCACCAATTGTTTAATTGGTGTATTTGTTTGTATTTGTCTGCAGGTCTATAGAAGTTTCCTTACAAATCTCTTGTTAACTAAAATTGTGTATGACTTGCTGTATTTTTTTTTGTCATTCTTTTGATTGTCTTACCTTTTTTTATATTGTCTTTTAATACTACTGCCATTTTTTTTATAAGCCCTTGACTAAAATATCCGTAAGATGCTTCCTATATTGTCCCTTGGTATCCCCCAGTGTCAGCTAAATATTTAAAGGGGGTTTTGTAGATCATATTGTGATTCTCTCTTTGCCTGCACCCTGAGGCAGGATGTTTAAAATGTTGGGGTCATTCAGTAATGTGTCTCCCCAAACAGGAAAGAATCCTGGCAACTTCCACATCTTATTGTCTCCACCATGAGAAAGAACAGTTAGGGTCTTGTGTTGTGTAGTTACTGAAGCCCCTCAGGAATTTCTGGTGTTTTCTTTCTCCGAATTTTAGATCTCTGGTTTCTAGTGAAGAACTGTTGTCATTGTTAGATGCCGTCTCCTAGTCTTCATCTAGTGAAGAATAGCCTCTGCTTATTTCTGATGGAATACTCTCCAGAAAGGATGTAAAATGTGTCCGTTCATTTTACTTGTCATTATAGCTGCAAGACTTTACAGAACATATCATACAGAATCTGCTAATTGGAAACACCAGATGTTTCCAATCAAGTCACTGGGTATTTGGGGCGTCCCTGCCGTGCTCTGAGCTCGGCTGTCTCTCTAGTTGTTGGTACTTTGAATTACGTGTGTTTCAAGGGGGAAAAAAGTCTTAAAATTATTGTCTTTTCAATCCTATCAGAAGCAATCTACATATTCAATGCAATCCCAATACAGATACTAAATTCATTTTTCAAGGACAACGAAAGGGAAATTGTCAAGTTTATTTGGACAGGCAAGAGACCCGGAATAAGTAAAACACCTCTGAGAAAAAAAAAAGTGGGAGGTATAGCATTCCCGACCTCAAAACCACTACACAGTAGGAATAGCCAAAACAGCATGGTACTGGTACAATGACAGGCACATAGATCAGTGGGACAGAATTGAGAACCCAGAAATAGACCCAGCTATCTATGGTCAACTGATATTTGACAAGGAAATAAAACCTATCAAGTGGGGAAATAATAATCTCTTCAAATGGTGCTGGCAAAACTGGACTGCCACATGCAAGAAGCTGAAACAGGATCCACATCTCACACCACACACAAAAATCACCTTAAGGTGAGTAAGAGACTTGGGAGTAAAGCCCAAGCCATAAAGTTCATAAGAGACAAACTGGGATCAAACTCAGAAGGCCTAGTCTACGGTATAAAGAGACTGCCAAGTATAGCCAGAAATGTATAATCTGAAGAGGATAAAATTGATGAATAAGACCCTCTAAAGATGAAATCCCTGTGAGCATCAAAAACTTTTCCCAACAGGGTGAAAAGAAATCTACTGACTGGGAACAAACATTTGGCAGTACCATTTCAGAAAAGAGCCTCATAACAGAAGTTTATAGAATACTCCTGGGCCGCCACAAAAAAAAGTCGATAACCCAGTTACAAAATAGGCAAAAGACATGCAAGGAATTTTCACAGGAAAATATTCAAATGGCCAGCAGACATAAGAAATGTTCCAAATCACTGACAGTAAGAGGGATGCAAATCTAAACTGCAGTGAGATACAATCTCACTCCAGTAACATTGGCAGACTTTAACAGGACAATAATAAATAATAATAAATGTTGGAGAGGATGTGGTGAGATAGGAACTCTGTTACGCTGTTGATAGGGTTGTACAATGGTACAGCCATTCTGCAAGGCAGTTTGGCACTTCCTCAAAAAGCTGACCATAGAAATTCCATATGACCCAGCTATTCCATTGCTTGGAATATACCCCAAGAAAATGAGAACTGAGGCTTAAATGGAAACTTGTACACCAGTGTTCATAGCAGCATTATTCGCCATAACAAGAACCTGAAAACAACCCAAATGTCTAACCACAAATGAATGGAGGAATTGTGGTATATTCATACAATGGAATACTACGCAGCATACAGTAGCAATGATTTTGTAAATTACGATCTAACTTGGGAGGGACTGGAGAGCATTATTCTGAGAGAACTAGCTCAGTCCCACAAGGACAAATACTGTATAAAACTGTTATTGTAGAATAAGTCTGATGATCCAAGGCAGGGGTGGGTGGGTGGGTGGTGGAAATAGAGGGGTGTGGATGGATGGCGAGGTAGGGTGTTAATTATAGGATTACACAATTCAGTGGGTGCGTGGGGTGAAGGAAATGGGAAGGATCTTTTGTGAAAAAAAAAGTACTCGAACTTTGTAAATAAATCAGAATAAAAGAAAAAAAAATTGGCTTCCCCCCCTTCATAGTTCATGGAAATATGCATAATAAATCCATAACCATCAAAATGCTAAGAGTTGAGTGTTGTTTTCCTTCCAGAAACTTTGTCCCCACTCACAGGCGGTTGTCACACTTTACCGATAAGCCGTCATTCTCTTTCTCAAGAGTTGGTGCTCATGTCTCAGTGCCCACTAAGCAGGGAGCAGCTGCTTGAGATGATGATAAAGTTGGACAGGTGTGGACTTGGAGGTCACTAGGGACTCTTGATTATTCTTAAGTGCACTAATTGATCTTTTCCATTGTGCCGAGATAGTTCCAAGGAGCCCTGGTGGCACAGGGGTTAAGCCTGTGGCTGCTAACAGCACAGTGGACCCTCCATCTGCTCCATAAGAGATAGTTGGGCCATTGACTTCCATAAAGGATGCAGCCCCGGAAACCCAGGGCAGTTTTCCTCTGCCCTGCAGGATTGGTGGGCTGGGGTCGTCCTGTCTGCAGTGGCTTTGGTTTGGTCTTTGAAGATAATTCCTAGGAGAGACCTGACCACCTGGCAGATTACAATCTTGTCTCAATCTTTTGTTCCCGTATTTTGTTTGCTTGCTTTTCAAGCTGTCATTTGTATCATCTCTTCCTTGTCTTTCTTGATTCTAGTTTCCGAAGAAGACTTGAAGGCCAGGGTGGCGGAGGAACTGGCGTTGCAACAAGCTAAGAAAGACTTGGAAAAGCAAAAGCGGTGAGTTCTGTGGCAACAGTGGGCTCTTTGGTGGGCTTGATATAGGAAATATTTTGAGAGGCGAATGATTCTAATAAGACTTGTTGCTTGCGTGTGGCTAAACTTCTGTGTGTGTGCTCAGAATGGGAGCGTGGCCAATTTAGGACGTGGATTGTCGTGCTGAAGCTCCAAGACACCCTGTCCCCGTACTTGACTGGTCAGCTGCGTTTGTAAAGTGCATCACAAGTCTCAGGTGCCCAAGACCAGTGTCCGCTTTCTCAACAAGAGAGACATAGGATTCTCCAGGCGTTTTTCAGGCCAGGTTCTTAAAATGAACGCATTTGATAGCAAGTGGCTATTAAGGTAAACAGGATCATAATTAATGATGAATGTAGTGCCACACAGAATGCTTGGCTTAGCAAAAAGCACTAATTAGGAACAGATACTCATTTAAAAACATTGTTGTAACAAAAAAATATGCAATGCCGAATCACAGTCCCCTATAATTCCATCCTCTGAAGATAATCACTCTTTCTTAATCTTTTCTTTTTCTAGATATTTTTTCCCCTGTGTAGACACTTTCATACTATTGTTGTAATGTCCAGTACTGTAACCATTAGCAACCACAAGGATTCCCACTAAGGTATTTGTTAAATTGGAGGCCATCCCCTTAACATCCTCAGGACCTGGATGAATGTGTCGGAGGGCTTCATCCCGATGTGCTGATTGACAAAAATGTCCAAGAGAGAACCTGGAAAAAAGCAACTTAGGAAATAGCATGGATTTTTTTCCCCCCTTCTCTTCCTTTTCTTTGGCCAGGACGGGGTGGGCTAGTACTACTTTTTAAAGAACATACTTATTCATAAAAATATGTGAGTACTTGTAAATCCAAGATCGAGTCAAATGTGTGCCATCTGTACCAGTTGTGAAATTTGCACAGAGCATCGTAGTGTGACGGCTGGGTGTGTGGCTGTGTCCTCTGAGCACCAGCCGTGTGCCTGCCACTGGGGGCTGCTTGTACCAGGCAGCTTTGGGTATGAACTGCTGCACTCTTGCCTGAGAGCTGAGAATAGGCAGACTCCAAAACTGGATTCTAATTCTTACTGCCTACGGGACCATCACTGCAAAGTTTAACTTCCTTGGGCCTTAAATATTTTATCTCTTTTACCAGAATATTTTGGGGAAAAAAATGTTCTCTTGACAGTTGCAAAGCTAACACCAATTTTTACGCAAGCTGTGGGACAGAATATGAGATTTACATTAGCCACTGTCATTTCACCAGGAACAGAGGAAGTGCATGGCCTAAGGTTTTAAAATCAGAGTGTAATTAGCACAGCTGAAACTATCTGCCTGTATTTGAGTGGTCTCCCATGCAGCACTATATAATTATTTAATTGGGTTAGGTTGATGGAGTGTGTAATTAGATAGTGAAGTTTAACTATTTTACAGGAAAGATCAGATCACTTCGTTTAAGAAGGAAAAAAAAGGTCAATACCTGATGCCAGATTTTTTTTTTGTCTTTGAAATTGTTATTATTTTTAATTGGATTTTTATTGTGACGTGGCTTTTTTGTTTAGACTCCTATTATGCTTATTAGAATTTACATAGGACTTTAAAAAAGTCTTTTCCGACGGTGTAGGATTGCTCCAATAGCTCTCACTGTGACTCTGATAGTTTCTTTTTTTCCCCTTTCCCCCCTTCCCTTATTATTCAGCTCCCGCTTGCCCTGCCTCGGTCTGTGAGAGGTTAAGGGCAGACGAGGTGAATTAGAGGTGCTAGTGAGAGCCGGTATCATAGCGTGTGTGGAATGAGGGTGGCAGCTTGGCCGTAACCTGGACAAATGGCTATTGATAAAGAATTTATTTTCTGTCACCTATATGGGGAGCAGAAGGTAGTACAGCATTTTTTATTTTTCCTTAAAAAAGATGTGTTTGAAAGCTTTTTGTGAAAACTTCCAGCTGTCAAATCTTAGCAAGAAGTGTGTGTTCATCTACTTGATAGCTCTCAGAAGAATCAATAGTGGTTTTTCTTTTCCCCTCTCTCTTTTCCTACCAGAAAAGGAGCTTTCGAGAGCATGAGGAAAGTTTCCTGTGCAGAGTTTAAAGGCACTTTTTTTTTTTGCACTTATTTTCTTTTATTGTTTGCTTTGTTTTTTTTTAAAGTAGTTTACATACATATACTTCCTACTTCATTCATATTGCGTTTTATACAATCAGTCATATACATTGTATTTTATATAATTATTCATCTGTGCCTCCCATCCCTCCAATTCACCTTTTCACATCCTTCCACCCACTAGTCTCTGATACCCTAGTGATTTTCTTCCCTTTTCTTTTTTTTTTCTTACTCTTTACATTCAGAACATTTATACTTATCTTGCTTTTATCCTTTTATTTTCACAATAGTGATCTTGGGCAGTATTTGTTCTTATGTGACTGAGTTATTTCACTCAACACAATGATCTCTGTACTCATATTTTATAATTATTTTATAAAATAGAGCTGCATAGTATTTCATAGTGTAAATGTTTCACAATTTTTCAATCCATTTGTTTGTTGATGGGCATTTGGGCTATGCCTTTTTTTT